ATAGAGAAGTTGTGATTTGCAGAGCAAAGAATTTTGGACTGGATGTCAGAAGGCCTGCATGTGTTAAGATTTATATCACCTCTAGCGTGGTGATGGGTGCAAGGTAGGTGCTCGATAAATAATTGTTGATGGCCCGACAACCTCAGGACCAAGGTTTGAACCCCAGTTCTTCAATTCCTCCCTTGGACTTTCTATTGTCTCCTTGACCTTAGCCTCACAAGTCATGGTGATGGCTTCCTGTTGGAGAAACTTGAAATATATCAGACTGACTGGACCTATGAATCAGCCGCCAATTTCAAGAAATCTAACTTCCAAGGCAACTACCTTCTTCATGGCTAGAGGCAGTGTGGAATATAGAATAGAGTAATGGAGTGGGAGTCAGGAAGACCTGAGTTCAACTCCTGCCTCAGATACTTACTAGCTGAGTCAGTGACCTTGACTAAGTCATGGATCGCCCTGAATCTCAGCTTCCTTATGTGTAAAATGAAGGGGTAGACCTTTATTGACTCTAAGTTCCCTTCCAGTTCTAACTCAATGGTTCTAGAGCTATCCTAAAGTAGAATAAACTACTAAGTCTACTAAGTAGACTAGAAATGGAAGGGGGTAGAAAAAGTAGTAAATTTCAGCGCATCTTAAACTGTGGGTCACAACCCCTGGCAACCCACAGTTTAAGAAGTGCCTAAAGGGTCACGAGTAGAAAAAATTTAAGAAGTCCTGGACTAGATCATAGGGAAGGAAGTTTAACCAACAAAAGAAACGGGAAAGGTGAACCTGTCATAAAAGGATAAATTTAGCGGAAAGAAAAGAAGAATGATGCCAGGGAGAAGTAAGCTATAAGGGAAGATGCCAACCTGGCTGACCCAAGAAATGCAGAAAGTCTTAGACCCAACAGTGGCAGTGCCAAGAGATGATGTATAGCAAGTCAAATGAAGTCAGCAAACAGAAAGTCAGAAATTGGATTAAAAGGCAAAAACGACAACAGACATCATTACAAGGCTGAAGAAAGAGTGGGAAATGTCTCTGTTGGAAAAGGAAGGGAGTCTGTCATAAAGTAACTTCAAAACAAAGGCTTCTGTTCAATTTTATTTTTAGGACATTTTCAAGTGGGAAGAGGCCCATCGTCCCTCCCAAAGGCTATCAGGTCCAACTTATCCACAGAAGTCAGTCAATAAGTATTTATTAAGTGTTATGTTAACTTGTATTACCTATGTGCTGTGTGCTGCGCTAAGTGCTGGGGACACAATGAAAGGTAGACAATTCCTACCCTCAAGGAACTTTCATTCTAAAGAGGGTAATGGGGAAGATAGTATGTCCACAACTCAGTGCATTTTGTCGTCGTTCAGTTGTTTTTCAGTTGTGTCCGACTCTTTGTGGCCCCATTTGGGTTTTTTTGGGAGAGATACTGGAGTGGTTTGCCATTTCCTTCTCCAGCTCATTTTACAGATAATAAGTAATATTTACATAGCACTTGTTATGTGTCAGGGACTGTGCTAAAGGCTTTACAAATATCTCATTTGGTCCTCACAATAACCCTGGGAGGTATATGCTATTGTTCTCATTTTACAGATGGGGAAACTAAGACAAACAGGTTAAGTGACTTGCCCAGGGTCACACAGCTAATAAGTGTCTGAGTTGAACTCTGGAGTTCCTATCTCCAGGTCCAGTGCGCTATCCACTATAGCATCTAAGGCTCACTTTTCGCAGGGAGAGAAAAGAAATATCAGAGAAAACAAACTTGACGATGTGATATGACTCAGTGACGTGTGGTCATCCAGCCTCAGTCTGAAATCTTCCTATGACCACCAGCAGTCCATGCTTCAAAGTGTCAGTAAATGAATGGACCCTGTTTTAGCCTTGTGGGCCTTTAATGAGACCACCAGTGACAGCAAAGAAGAGAGCATTGTAATGTGATAATTTAGCTGTGCTTGCTCCCTTTCCCAGAATTTTAAAAAAAAAAGGTTTATAGAACTAAGAAGTTCTCTCAGGAGCTTGGGGGCATGGTGGATAGACAGCCAAAGATCTCAGGTCAAATTCTATCTCAGAACTTAACTAGCTGTGTGACCCTGGGCAAGTCACTCGAACCTTAAAATATTGTGAAATTGAGTTCATTCTCTTCCTCTTCCTCCTCGTCCTCCTCTTCTCTGTCTTCTAGTTTCATCTTACTGCTGTTGCTATTGTTATTGCTGTTATTATTATTATTAATAGTTGTGGTAGTATCTCGTACAACTGATTGCAAGCAGGAATTCCCTCTGCAGCTTTTGGACAGACAAGTGGATGGACTTCACTTGAATAATTTTAGTGATGGAGAACTAATTACGTCACGACGCAGCTCAATGAGTTTTTAGACCTCTCGAATTGTTAGAATATTTCTCTCCGAACTTTGAGCCAGGCTCCGCCCCTTCTGTAACTTCTGCCCAGTGGTCTTAATTGTACCAAACAAAGGTGAGTCTGTTACCTCTTCCGTATGACAGCTCTGCCCAGATTTGGAGATGGGGATCACGAAGAAGAGAGAGAAGAGGAGGAAAAGGAGGAGGAGAAAGAACTGCAATTGACAAAGCCCTTCAACGTTCTCAGAGTGCTCTGTGTATGTTATCTCAGGAGGCAGGTGTAGTTATTACCCTTGTTTTATAGATGGGGAAACTGAGGCTAAGAGAAGTCAAGAGACATCTTCTCTAGGTTATGTATTCCAGGCTTTTTTTTATCATTATTATGTTTCCATGACATAGCTTCCAGACTACTTAAGGATATGGTCTGCACAGTCTATCGAGATGCAACCACTGTTACTCAAGGAAAATGTTGGACAGATAGCATCTCCCACAGGAGAAGCTTTAGAGAACTGGGTGCCATTCTCCCTGGCCTCCTCTGCCTCCTCTCCTACCTCTTGTTCACCCCACTGGCTTTCCTCAACTGCTGGTACTAATTCCTGCTAAGTTGTTAATAGATAACTGAGGTGTTAGCTGCTAGGAGATTAAGACGTCAACCGTCCCTGGGGCATCCACATTTTCAAAGGAAATCCCTTAAAACCAAAATCATTTAAATCTCCTAGGACTTGGCAGTGTCTGGTACATAGTGGGTGCTTGATAATGCTAGGTGACTAATTGACCTAAAGGAATGAATCAGCGATGGTTGAATGGTAGGGGTTGACACTGACATTTTTGCAAAGGGGGATGGTATTATTTTGTACCACCTAGATATGGAAGAACTCACTACCTCCTGAGGAAGCTCATTTCACATTTTAAACAGCTCTAATCATGAGGAGATTTTTCCTTGGAATGGTTCTAAATTCCATAAGATCATAATGTAGAGCTGGAGGGAGGTGGACGTCCAACTCTCATTTTGCAGAAGAAACTGAAGCCTAGGGAGATTACATGACTTTTGGTCACATGGGTACTAAGTGCAAGAAGAGAATTTGAACCCAGGCCCTCTGACTCTACAGTCAGTCTCCACTCTATCACACTATTTGTCTCTGTGCAACAACTAGACAGTGCTCTGACCAGGGCTGAGCTGTACTCTGTGTCTTGTTAGGTCTGTGACCTTTGTCAAATCTATTAAACTCCATGGGCCTCAGTTTCCTCATTTGTAAAATGACAGAGTTAGGAGTAGATGACATCAAATTCCTCTGGTTCTAAATTGACGCTATGATCCTTGACTCCTCCCAGCCCCCCCCCCCCAAGTGGGGAGGGGAAGCAGAGGAAGTTTAGCTCCTTTCCCTCCCCCCCCCATAGCTTTTTAGATATTTGAGGACAGTTATGATATCCCACTTCAGTCTTCTCCAGCCAAATATTCCCAGCTCCTCTACCTGATCATCCCATGAGGCATTGGTATGGCCCCTCACTATTCTTTGGACCCTCTAAAGCTTGTCAATGTCCATAAGATGCGGGGCCAAATCTTTGCAGAAGCTGAAGCCTATAGACTTAGCATATATTATCAGACTTTTTCATTACATTTGTTAGTTCTGCTGAATTTTTTCTCTCTCTTTTTAATTATTTGAAATAAGGATTTGCTTATGGGAAGGGGAAACATTGGGGAATATGGGAGATGTAAAAATAAAACAAATCAATAAAATATTCCATTGCATTGTAACTTCCTTAAAGGGAGGGACTGTACTTTGCCTCTTTTTGTATTTTCAATGTTTAGCACAATACCCAGCACATAGTAGGCACTTAATAAATGTTTAGCGATTGATGATTGATTAATATGATTTTAAAAGTTAGAGGTCCTCTCAAAGTTAGAGGACCATGGGCCTCCTATCTCCTTAGTCCAGGTTACTATCTCTCTTATTGTAGCCAAGATAACATTAGTTTGTTATTATATATTTGATATGTTGCAATATTGAATCAAATTGGGCTCCTAGTCCACTAAAATTGTAGCTCTCTAAGCCTCAGTTCACTCATCTGTCAAAGATAGGCTTGGACTAAAAAACATCTCAGGTTTTTTCCTACTCCTACATTTTGCCCTGCTCTCTCACAGGCTACCTTAAGAGACCCTTCTCAGGCTCATCTGGAAACTCTATTCAAGGATTTGCCACAAAGCCCTAGCCCCACATATCACTATATTATACTATAACTTAGTCAAGTACAGATACAAGTCATTGTGAGGCTATGAGACCAATGAACAGAGAGTCACAAATCTTGGGTCAGTGTCTTGTCTCCACTAAATCCTTCCTAAGCCTCAGTTTGAATGTCTAAAAAATGGAAATAATCCCTGCCTTGTCTTTCTCATAGTGATAAAGGCTGATAGGATCACAGAATTCAGAACTGGACAGAAACTTAAGTCCATCAAGTGCCCTAATTTTGCAAGTGAGTAAACTGAGGCCAAGACTGGTGTAATGACTTGTTCAAGGTCACACAGGTAGTGACTTTCAGAGGCAGGATACAAACACATTTAATATAATTCCAAGTTCAGAATACTGGGAATATTAGAAAGCTCAACTGTAACAAAGTAAATGAAAAACACTTTATTCTTAACTAAGGCTATAGGGGAAGGATAAGAATAGTCACCTGGCTGAAGCCTTCACTTGCAATTCAGGGTAGGCAGCATGTCCCTGGACCACATGTTCTATCTGTAAAACCAAGAAATGTGGGTAAGTTAACGTTCCCACAAATGCTGTGTGTAAGCAGGAGAGAATATTCCTAGAGAAAGAAAAAAACAAAAACAAAAACAGATCCATTGCCTTCTACTTTTCTTCCACTGTTGAATCTGCTGAAAGGGAAATTCTAACTCAGCTGGGGATTGTCAGGATTTTGTAAAAGTACATCTTTGCTTAGCTTAGTGGACAGCTTGGGTGCCCCATGGTCACTGGAGCAACAATACCAAAGCTCAATGAAGTATGTGGCTAACCCCTGAGGATGAAAGGGAGAAGCAGTGGGACATCTTGCCATGAGGAAGCAAGAAGCCTGGTGCATTAGGAGTACTACACTTACAGGTCAGAGACCTGGATTCAAATCCAGACTCCTCTAATTGGTAGGTCTTTGACTAGGAGGAAATCACTCCATAAAAAGGGGATGTTACATACGCTGCATCACTCCCAGGGTTGTTGAGAAACATGAGCTGAGCTATTGCTCTATCAGGCTGGGATACTCAGTCCTGGGCAATACAGCAGGGTCATTAATATAGGCAGTAATGTTTCAACCTCTCCTTCCACAATGGTCACAGAGGTAAGGAAGTGGGAGAGGACGCATGATGAATGAACAAGGATCCAGGAGACGCAGGTCCACTACTACTATGACCTTGCTGGGTGACCTTTGGCACATTTATTCCTTCCTTTATCTGCATCATAGTTTCCTTGTCTTCAAAATTCTATAAAATGAGGGGTTGGAAAACATGACTTCTGGGGTCCTTTGAAGCTCTAAATTGATGATCCTATGTCCTTGAGATACTATTTCTCTTCTAATCTAAAGTCAGGAAGATCTGAGTTCACACCCAGCATCAGACACTCACTAGCTGTGTGACCCTGGGCAAGTCAATTTCCTCATCTATAAAATGGGGATAATAGAAGCTATCTCCCAGAGTGGTTGTGAGGATCAAATGAAATAAGAATTGTACTTAGCTCAATGCCTGGCACATAGTAAGCACTATATAAATGTTGACTGTTATTATTATTAGCTATCAGTCTTTAAGACTTTTGCCTAGCCTGCACAAGGTAACTTGATATGACTTTGTTTAATGCTTCATAAACCTTAAACTGCTATGTAAATATTAGCTACTATTATTATTATTATCATTATTAAAATGCCTTTAGACTATGTTGATCTGACTTCCTCAGCTCTACTTGGGTTCCATGTGATTTGTTCTAAGCAACATTCATCTATATTTAGGTCAAGGATTTTTAACCTGGTATTCCTGAGCTTTTTTAAAAACTATATATATATATATATATATTTAGATAGATAGATAGATAAATAGATAGATAACAGTATTTCACTAAAATTTATTTTCTTTATAATGCTATGCACTAAAAATATGATTCTAAGAAGGGATCTATAGACGTCATCAGACTACCCAAGGGGTCTAAGATCCCAAAAAGTTATTTCAATATATGTATTTTCAACTGTGGAAAAGAGGCATACTAATATGCTACTGGTGGAGGTAAAAACTGGCCCAAGTATTATAAAAAGCAATTGTAATTATGCTAAAGAAAAATGTAATTAAAATGCCCATAGCCTTTGACCTAGTGATCCCACTGCTAAGCATATGCCCTAAAGACATCAAAGACAGAATGGTCTCATGTACACTAAAATATTCATAGCAGCACTTTTTGTAGTAGTAATTACTGGGAACAAAAGAGATGGCTATCAGTTTTGGAATGGGTAGGCACATTGCGGTACATGAATGTAGTGGGATATTACTGACCTCTAAGAAATCATGAAAAATTGAGAGAAGCATCAGAAGACTTGCATGAACAGATGCAAAATGAAGTAAGCAGAACCAGGAAAACAACATGTACAATGATTCTACAAACTCTTTTGTATTTGTTTTCAATATACTCCTACATATACATACATATGTGTGTATGCATGTCATCTTCTCTCACAGAATATAAACCCCTTGAAAATATTGTTTGTGTTTATTTTTATATCCCCAGTGCCTAGAACAGTGCCTGGCATGGAGAAGTGGTTTAATGACTTTCTGTTGACTGATTATTTAGACTCACTCAGAGTAAAACTCTAGGTGTACATTAAGAAAAAAGAAAGAAAGAAAGAAAGAAAGAAAGAAAGAAAGAAAGAAAGAAA